CAGTCTCTTGTTTAACACAGTAACAATCCAGTCTCTTGTTGAACACAGTAACAATCCAGTCTCTTGTTTAACACAGTAACAATCCAGTCTCTTATTTAATACAGTCACAATCCAGTCTCTTGTTTAACACAGTAACAATCCAGTCTCTTGTTTACCACAGTCACAATCCAGTCTCATGTTTACCACAGTCACAATCCAGTCTCATGTTTACCACAGTAACAATCCAGTTTTCATTTACCACAGTAACAACCCAGTCTCTTGTTTAACACAGTAACAATCCAGTCTCTTGTTTAACACAGTAACAATCCAGTCTCTTGTTTAACACAGTAACAATCCAGTCTCTTATTTAACACAGTCACAATCCAGTCTCTTGTTTAACACAGTAACAATCCAGTCTCTTGTTTACCACAGTCACAATCCAGTCTCATGGTTAACATGGTCCCAATCCTTAATTTATTGATCTACAGTATGTAGTATCTGTTAAACTTTTAATAACAAACAATCATCACATCCATAAATAAAACCCTTCAGTTTATGTGAAACATTTTAGTAACAAACAAATGCATGCTGAAGAGAGACAGTTAAAACCTAAATAAAATAAAAGATTTAGTTTTATCAAAAGAAAAAAATTTGCATATTTTGTAGATATTATTATGACAATAATATATGTATCTGATACAAGAATAATTAAAATAAGTGCAAATATTGTCATAAAACAACAACTAGAGACTAAAGGAAGATTCGATAAAGTACTATATATCTGTTATAAGTGTGTACATATTGTTCATAGAGATTCTTCCTAATGATTAGTTAAAGTACAAAGTTTTAGTGTAACATTCTGTAAGGTGTCATGTCCTCAAAGTCTGCTGTACTCTGACAAACTACTATATTTTAACACAGTCAAGATATGTAGTATGTACCTTAGTTTAATCTACTATTTATAAGCTATAGATCAAGGCAAAGCTTATGGTATAACAGCTCCTTTAAGACTGTATTAAACAGTTACCAAGTTCAACTGTAAAACACAACTTTTAATAATCTAAACTTCTCTGTATTACATGAAAGATTCTAATCAGTCATGTTTTTTATATACCATAGGTTTTAAAACTAACAGCTACGGTACCTTAGCAAGTCTGTTCATCCGTTCCTTGGAACTAAAGGATTTTCCTGGAGTGGAGGTTTGTGTACTTCCGTCAGCTTGGACTCCAGGCCAAAGCCTCAAATCATGGATCCCCTGACGTAAGGCACTACCAAGAAATATGTTATTTTTCATGGAATTTTTACACCAGTATTATATCTAAAAATATAATCAAGACTGAAATAACGATGTATAATTATCATAACCTGTACATTTCATTAAAACCTAACATCTTATAATGATGTATAATCATCACATCTGATGAGCAGCTGGAGTCTACAGCAATCTGGTTATGACCTCAGCAAATAACTGGTTATTTCTATGAATATCAATGAAACACTGCCATGGTAAATTTTTGCACCTTGACTTTTTCAAGACACTCTAACAATGTGTCTAGACTTTATAGCTTTGTTTAGAACACCTGGAGCACATATAACATAGATTTGTTACAGATTCAATACTCCTGATAGATATGTTAATGTCCAGAATACTCCCGATAAAGATGTTAATGTCCAGAATACTCCCAATAAAGATGTTAATGTCCAGAATACTCTTGATAAAGATGTTAATGTCCAGAATACTCCCGATAAAGATGTTAATGTCCAGAATACTCCCGATAAAGATGTTAATGTCCAGAATACTCCAGGCACAGATGTTAATGTCCAGAATACTCTTGATAAAGATGTTAATGTCCAGAATACTCCCGATAAAGATGTTAATGTCCAGAATACTCCCGATAAAGATGTTAATGTCCAAAATCAGCAAAAATGTAAGTAGTATGACTATGTAAATGTTGACATTAAAAATATTTTGTTTGTGAATAATAAAATATGAATTTAGGTGTAGACTTTACAATTTTTTTTTCTAAATATATTTATAACTACTTAATTTTACTAATTTTTAATGTACTTTTACATGTTAATTCTAACTCTGTTTAACTCTTTCAGCACAAGCTCATTCCCCAGAACCAACATCATAATCATTCAACTTGTTATAGTTTTCATGCTATAACTTTTAAATTAGTATGTGTATGTTAATGCAATTTGGTAGATTATCAGTAAACATTACAAGGCTTTCATAAGCAAAATATCAGATTTTTTATTAAGTCTTAAGGTTTGTTAAGCAATGTTTTTCTCATGCTTTTTTTTTTTTTTGCATGTTGCCTATCCAACAAGCAAAGTGATTTTCATTTTAAGATTAAAAATACTTTTCTGCATTAGAACATTTTCAAATTTCACATGCAAAATTGTTATAACATCCAGATAGTTATTGAACGTTGAAGAAAAAACAACATATTTTATCTGTTATTTTCACTGTTTAATCTTTATATGGGTTCAGTGGATTTGATCGATCTCATAACCACCACAAAAAATTAGGAAATAAATACAAATTATGCTTTTTTTGTTCTAGAATGACTACAGGTTATAACAAGAAAACACAAATCCTTAGACTAAATAGCTTAAATCTCACGTCATTATACATTTATATATATTATATTGACCTTTCAGCCATGCCTGGCTAACAATAATTTAAAACTAACCTTTAGTCTTTACAAAATAACCTGTCTTGGCTGTGTTTTAGTAGACTAGTATTTTGTAAAATACAGTCATATTTCATTTATTATACATTATATATGTATAACATAGAACAGTAAATAAAGATGTAAAGCAAACAATTATCATTTCTAGTTATGACCTTTATACTCGGTTACTGCTTGACGTAGGTTGCTAAGCCTTATAAAATTTCACATGTGAAGGATGTGAAACAAAATAAATTTTTAGGTTTTATATACACAGTTGAATAATTAAAAAATCATAAATTACTACATTAATATCATAGAATTCCATTATAATTTATCAAGCTTAATAACTAAGATGTATTTTAGTCTAAAAAAATATGAAATTTTAAGCAGACTACAGACACAACTTACCAGCTTGAAGATTTGTATCGAAAGAACGAGGTGATGTCATAATACTTGAAAATGGCTGAGAAAGCCACTAGGGGGACATTCTGAGGTTTCAATTGGTTATTGATACCAAACTTATTGACATAAATTCATAAAATAGTAGTTCAATAAAATTTTGAATGCAAGTCAACAAACATGATGATGTGGCCTTTGATCCGTATGAAAAGGGTTAATCAATTTTAACTCACAAATGTTTTAAAATCACTATTTTTGTCTCTTTTTTTTCAGTCTTATTTAGGGTAATTCATTATTAAAAATATTAATATTTTCCTTACTACAGCTGCAAAGAGTTTTGCCTGTAAATAAAAAAACCCTCTTGTAAATTTAAAAATGTTTCTGCCCATCCCAAAGAATAACTATTTTTACTAAGAATATATCAACCTTTGAAAATATATTATACATTTCTTCTTTTTCAAATGTTTTCTTTAATTTTTGTACAGGCCTTGGTTATAACCTAGTTATGGTGCCACATCAAATGGTTTGATCATTCACTAATGCTTTGAAAACACCTATAAAGTTTAAATATGATTGGATAGAGCAAGAATTAGACTATCATATAATAGTACAGAAAATATATAGGTTTAATAGATATTAGACTATCATATAATATTAGAGAAAATATATAGGTTTAATAGATATTAGACTATCATATAATAGTAGATAAAATATATAGGTTTAATGGATGTTTGTTTATAGTTTCTGTAAATGTTTCTTTGTGAATTGTAAAACAATTATTAAACTATTTCTGTTTGAAATCTTCTTCAATAGAAAGACATCAGATGACATGTGATGAGCTTTTACAGTTTAGAGATGAGTTGAATGGGTAATAAATAAAACTTTATTTAAAGTTCAACACAGTAAAATAGTGTATAATGTTTGAGAAGGTTCTGTCATCATTAGTGAGTACAGTAGATTATTATAAAATATTCTGATGGCAAATCTGTATTTAATACTATTTTTATGTTTATCCTATTGACACAACATAGATAAATTGGCTAAATGGCTACTTAATTATTTTTGATTGCAAAAGTAATATCATTTTAAATAAAAAATTATTCCCCTTATCATAGATAGTAAAACATGTTTTCATTGTTAATATATTTGACTTATAAAAGATCAGTGTGGGATTACTATATATTTGAAAAACAAGCATAATGACAACAGAAAATGGAAGGTAACTGATTAATAAACCAGTGTTGTAGGGATGTAGTGAACAAATGGAAGGTAACTGATTAATAAAACCAGTGTTGTAGGGACATAGTGAACTAATGGAAGGTAACTGATTAATAAAACCAGTGATGTAGGGACATAGTGAACTAATGGAAGGTAACTGATTAATAAACCAACGTTGTAGGGACATAGTGACCTAATGGATGGTAACTGATTAATAAACCAATGTTGTAGGGATGTAGTGAACTAATGGATGGTAACTGATTAATAAAACCAGTGATGTAAGGATGTAGTGACCTAATGGATGGTAACTGATTAATAAAACCAGTGATGTAGGGATGTAGTGAACTAATGGAAGGTAACTGATTAATAAAACCAGTGATGTAGGAACGTAGTGAACTAATGGATGGTAACTGATTAATAAAACCAGTGATGTAGGGATGTAGTGACCTAATGGAAGGTAACTGATTAATAAACCAATGTTTTAGGGACATAATGAACTAATGGAAGGTAACTGATTAATAAAACCAGTGTTGTAGGGACATAGTGAACTAATGGAAGGTAACTGATTAATAAACCAGTGATGTAGGGATGTAGTGACCTAATGGAAGGTAACTGATTAATAAACCAATGTTGTAGGGACATAGTGAACTAATGAAAGGTAAACTGATTAATA